AATAATCAACAACAACAAGAATTAATATTTGTACCCACATCCTCCGACGTTGGTAAATATCTAAGAGGTTGGAAGATGGATATTAATTCCAACATGGATGTTAACGATATTAAGCCCATCATATCGAGTAAAATTAACGAGGAGTTAGATGATTTACATAGTATAAAATACCAGCTGACAATTAAAATGTTATTGAGTAAAAGTAACACAGACGATAGCACCGAATATACCAAACCATATTTCCGTAGCAATCAAGAAGTTATAACCGAATCCGATACTATAAACGCATCATTAGATACATCAATTCAGAGAATACAGGAAACTTTAGAACGCTGGACTAATAGAGGTTCGGGTTGGGGTGTGGATAAAATCGATAGTTTATATTTAGATATAGCAAATTATATGTCCTTCAAAGGTGGATCTTATATAGATTTACCCCCCTATTATAAAAAGAAAAAAGCCATAATTAACGTAAAAAATAAATGCGATGACTGTTTAAGAATGATGATAAGATCTGCATTGTTCCCCGTAGACAAGCATCCGGATAGACCTTCTAGCTATCCCAAAAACGATGGACTCAACTTCGATGGTATAGACGAACCTACACCAATATCACAAATTGATAAGGTGGAAAAGCAAAATAATTTAGCTATAAATGTTTTCGGACATTCTAAAGGAATTGTTGTACACAGGATAAGCTCCGCTCCGGAACATATCCCCAGAATCAATTCATTTCTGATCGAAAAAGATGGTAAATATCATTATACGTGGATAAAGAGTTTAAACAGGCTACTATACGATCAAACAAAACATAAGGAAAAGAAATATTTCTGTGAAAGATGCCTACATGGGTACAGCAGACAAGATCTATTAGAAGCGCATAAAGAAGACTGTAGAGGTGTTGGACAGACCGCTATCAGGATCGATATGCCTAAAGAGGGAAAAAATATATTAAAATTTGAACATTATTGTAATCAAATGCCAGTACCATACGTAATTTACGCCGACTTTGAAGCACTTATCAAACCCATAGAAAATACCAACCATAGCAATCAAGATAATCAAGATAGTTTTACATACAAAACTCAAGAACATATTCCTTGTGGGTTTGGATATATAGTTGTAAGGTATGATGGGAAAACAAACCCACCCGTGATTTACAGAGGTCCCGATGCAGCGGGAAAGTTCCTAGAATATCTACAAAATGAAGAGAGAATAATTAGGGAAAAATTATCGTGTAAGAAACCCATGCGTATGACGAGGGATGATTGGAGGGCCCATAAGAAGTCAACGAGTTGTCATGTTTGTAATAAACCCCTGGATGGGGATTCCGTAAGAGATCATTGCCACGTCACGGGTAATTATCGGGGAGCCGCGCATAACGAGTGTAACTTGAAACTAAAAATGAATTCTCAAAAAATACCCATCCCCGTTGTGTTTCATAACCTTAGGGGATACGATTCACATCTCATTATGCAAGCTATCTTAAAGACCGACGGCGGTTTAACGTGCATTCGTAATAATATGGAAAAATACATATCGTTCTCGTTGACTAAACCTATACATTATAGGGACAAGGATGGGAAATCCAGAATAAAGCAAAGTAATCGGCTTAGATTCATAGACTCCGTACAGTTTCTGTTATCTTCCCTGGACAATTTAGCTAATGCGAACAATCCCGATGACTTTGCGATAACAAATAAATATGCCGATAAGATAACGCGTCATTTGTTGCTGAGAACAGGTGTATATCCTTACAAATATATGGATGATTGGTCTAGATTCGAAGAAACTGAATTACCACCCCTCGAATCATTCTATAGTAACTTAACAGAATCTAAAATAACAGATGCCGATTATGAACACGCTCTGACGGTCTGGGATAAATTAGGTTGTAAGAATTTAGGCGATTATCACGATCTGTACTTAAAAACTGATGTACTGTTACTCGCCGATATATTCGAGATATTTAGAAAGACATGTTTAAAACAATACGGCTTGGATCCGGCATGGTACTATTCCAGTCCCGGACTATCGTGGGATGCATTGTTGAAGAAGACCGGCGTAGAACTAAAATTACTCACAGATTACGATATGCACTTGTTTATTGAGAAAGGATTAAGAGGTTGTATATCGATGGCAGCTAAAAGGTATTCTAAGGCTAATAATAAATTAGTGGAAGGATACGATCCTAGTAAACCCGACACTCACATATTATATCTCGACGCCAACAATTTGTACGGATGGGCTATGAGTCAACCTTTACCCACGGGTGGTTTTGAGTGGGTCGATGATATCCATAATAATGATGTGAATAAAGGGTACATACTAGAAGTTGACTTGGAATATCCAAATTCGTTACATAAAGACCATAACAGTTATCTCCTCGCTCCCGAAAGATTAATGGTTAATAAAGATTTGATGTCGGAATATCAACGCTCCTTGATGGATAATAGTAGGTTAGCTAACGTAGAAAAACTCGTACCAAATTTGATGGATAAGACAAAATATATAGTTCACTACAGAAATCTCCAGTTGTATCTATCGTTAGGTATGAAACTTAAGAAAATACACAGAGTTCTAAAGTTTGATCAAAGCCCTTGGATGGAGCCCTATATAAGGTTGAACACAGATTTAAGAAAGATAGCTACCAGCGATTTTGAAAAGAATCTTTATAAGCTCATAAATAACTCAGTATTTGGTAAAACTATGGAGAATCTAAGGAAGCGTGTTGATGTTAAATTAGTCAGATCTAATGAGGAAGAAAGACTCAGGAAACTTATAGCCAGTCCGTCTTTTAACAGAAGCAAGATATTCGATAACGACTTAGCCGCTTTGCATATGCAGAAGAGTAATATAAAATTCAACAGACCGGTGTACGTCGGTATGAGTATTCTCGACTTGTCAAAACACTTAATGTATGACTTTTATTACAACGAACTTAAGAAGCAATACGGCGATAGATGCGAGGTGTTATATACCGACACAGATTCTTTGTTGATGGAAATACAAACCGAGGATGTGTATAAAGATATGGCAGAAAAAATAGATACGTACGACACGAGCGATTACCCAAAAGATAATCCACTGCACAGCGTTGTAAAAAGGTGTTAGGTAAGATGAAGGATGAATGTGCTGGGACCCCTATAGCGGAGTATGTAGGATTAAGACCTAAGATGTATTCTATAAAGAAGTCCGATAATGGAGAGATAAGAAAAGCTAAGGGTGTTAAGAAGTATGTTGTAAAAAAACATATCAAACACGAACAGTATAAAGAATCATTACTCAACGGTAGAACGTTCAAACACGAGATGAACACTTTAAGAAGTTACAATCATAGGATATATGGATTAAGAATGAACAAGACATCATTATCCCCCTTAGATACAAAGAGATGGATTGATAATGATGGTGTAACTACCTATGCTTATGGTTATGGTGGTAATACCGTACCGTCGGGAACTATGAACAGCTCTTCTCGTACAAATGCCCTACCCGGTCCATCTTGAAGATAATAAAGAATAGGCTCTCCTTCTTTCGTAACCAATCGACTAATGTTATATGTCTTAAGGGACCATATGGGATCGGTTGCGCGACGTAGGCCTCCTTCGAGTTCACCTGCCTGGTATAAATATCTTACCCTTACTCTATCCGGAAGTTTTCGTTCTTTGCCTCTCCTCGGTGCTGAAGATTCGGAAGTCACGGATTTCATTTTAATAGCATCGGATGGTTTCTTCCCTATTAATCTTGTTACTTCATTATTCAACGCTGATACAACGGCTGATAATCGTGTCACCCATTCGGTTGATCTCAATCGCTCGGATTTCATTTCTATCCCATACTGATAGCCAAACAAACGTTCCGCTAATGTCCTGTTAAATCTTTCGACGATAGCTTGACTACGGTGGGCCTCTCTTTCACCACGGACGATTTTGACATCGTGCTTTGTTAACAGTTTAGTTACCGATCCCATAAACTCGCGACCGGGATCTACTTGAAATAGCTTAGGCCATTTTAGTGGTCTGCGTTTATATATGCGACTCAGTGCATTAGCTACTTCTGTTGAATCTTTCGAGGTTAATGGCTCAGCCTCGTTGTATCGACTAGCCACATCCACTACTGTTAAAGCGTATTTATACGTTTTGCGTTTTACCTTATCGTGGGGAAGAAACAAGAGGTCAGCCTGATGAACTTCATTCGTTGTAAAAATATCAAACTTTTTCCTCGGTATATAACGCGGTGCCGGTAAATATATTTGCCACATCGCTTGTTTCTTTAACCAATCCTTGGCCACATCTTTAGATACCTTAGCCGCGGTGGCTAATTTTTTTATTGCTCCTACACCTTTCCAATATCCTCGTGGGCTATAGTAAATTTTATCCATTATTAATTAATATTGATGTTTCTTTTAAAATGACTTTCGTTGAATCGCATCATCATTTTTATACTAATAGAAGCAATGATTGGCCCCAGGTATTGGTGAGCTAGAGCCAATTTAACTTAATCTCATGACTATCATTGAATCGCATCATCATTTACGCATAAAAAATGCCACCTGTAGTAGCAGTATAGGTATATAAATCCAGCTCCAGTGGAAGTGGTCCAGAACCCCCATTACCTATACTACTAGTTGGAACAACTTCTTCAAGCAAAGACCTTCACACAGCTCTTTATTCTGTCAAGAGTCAAGAACAAGCAGTAATATGCATTAAGGAGTAATGCAGGATAAGTATACAAATATAAAAAAATATCTAGGATTTCACAAGATTTCTTGAAAAGTGCACTTAACAATTTTTGTCGTTACGGCAAGTAATATCCCTTATCAGTAGAATGGCTTGTTTTCCCCTTTTTAAGTATTAGCACACATGCAGTTAACTACATTAATTAATAATGGTGATATTAAAGAAAAAGAAAATAACAAGATAACAGAAGTCAAAGGAATGTGAAGATGATGTACTTTATCATGTTTATATCTTTGTACAAATCTTTTGTTGTGGTAGGTATATGAGTTTGCTATCAAAGAAGAAGCTCACATTCCTGACCTTAATGAAGAAAGAATACAAACACCACCAAGGAAAAAGAAGAAGAAGCAGAAGTAAGCACTTTATAAATTTGGAATTACTTTGGCTTATCAGATAATCATATTTAATAAAGAAAGTCAACATTCATCATCAAAGTCTTATCAGTATCAATATGATAAGCAATATTTGGAGCACCTTGAGAATACAGTACCATAACTTTTCGTGAGGACAATCTCTGCCGTAGGTCACATGTCACTAAGACAAGCAACCAGTTTGGATGAGAATCCATCAGACACAAACCTGCGACCTTTGGATTGTTATCCCTACAGTTAACCGACTGAGCTACTTCCACACTGTTAAACTTAGTGCAAATTTACCTAGTCATACATAAGACATGGAACTGAACGGAAAGGGTCGATTAGGTGACGGATACTTATGAAGGTTGCAGGTAGGCATGGTGTTTCGTGACTTGTCTATGGACACTCACTAGGGATTCCGTAATCTAGAAGATACCGAGTGGTGAGGAATGAGCCGTCATGGAGCCAATGGCTCCAGGCTGGAGACGACGAATTCATGAGTATGCATGAATGACAGGGTTTTAATGATTGGTGGGTGATTTTGTCACAGAAAAGTATGGGAGCAAACACTGTAAGAATAACAAAATAAGGAACAAGGAAGGCATAGACATGGCTACTGATGCCACAAGGGTAAGCTGGCTTTTAATTCATAACTGATGAAGTGTAGTGAGGAAATTCCATGACAGTTTTCTGTTGCCAAACAATTGACTACTTTAACCTGCTCCCACAATGCAACTGTAAATGTGAAAACAATAAAACACACAAAAATACCCTAACAAGTGCATTTATTTACACACTTGTCTCTTCGGATCTCGTGCTTGAAAATGCATTAGAAGGGGGTACAATCCCCTTAGACCCCCTGCACAGCTCGTAATGCATCGTATCTGTCATATCAAATCTAATCATATTGATTTATTGCAAAAGAAGTCCCACAGTAGATAGATAGTATTCAGACTGTCAACATTAAGTTGTATGCAGCGTCAATAAATAGATACCTGATAAACAGCATTCCTGTGCATATTAATGAAAACTGCGGAATCTATATATAATACATGTGCAATACTGCATATTAGTTCTCATTTATAATCCATTTATCCACATGAAATAAGTTCAAACCTAAAATAGATGTATGGAAAATAACAGTAAATTGTTGCTATAAATGCTCTGCTGCAGACTATATTTAGTAAACAACTTTTGAAAACTCTCAACATCACTGGTCTTATTCAATGACATTGCTTGAAGAGGTGATAGATCACTGAAAGGAGCTTATGCACACACGATGACCTGGCAGCAAAATATCACAAATTACATCTTAGGGTATTGTGACGTGTTTGAAAAGTTTATGGTACTGTATTCTAAAGGTAGGCCCAGTATTTAAGCAGACAGTAAGGGCCTGGGGGGCAGCGAAATGTGTTTGCAGCAATTGGATTTCTCAACCACAAGCACATGACCATGATAACACATTTGAATTATGCCAAAAAATCAACAAAATGTCAGATTACTTGTCGATTACTTTTGCAACATTCGTGGATTTTTATGTTTATTTTTGCTAGTTACAGTTACAGTTTGCTAGTTGCTTCCCTTTACATATGCACTGCTTTTCTGCACATCTTGTGTTATGGTTATGCAGCAGTAGAAGTTTGTGTGCTTGTTGTGCCTTTTGCAAATTAGTTCAATAAAAACATGAAATTACGATAAGGATCTACAAATTCAATGGTATTTCTGTTCTGTAAAACAAACAATGTTTCACATGCGAAGATTAAGATTACTTGTGTGTTTATCTTGTAAAATAATCCAGAAATAGCAATCAGCTGATCACACATTTACTCCCCTATCTATGGGTGATTTAGTTTTAAAAATACTTAATATCATGGCCAATATCATAACGGAAAAAAAATTTCAATATAGTGATAGGAGGACCAAAGATCTTTTTTGTGTGCTCTTGATAGTATACACTGGATAACATGAATATTCAATGAAGTTGAGTTGTGTGAATTACAATACATGTAGTACAAAAGCTTGGCCTTTCTGACCTTCACTAGCTGCTTCAAATTGGACAGAGACAAATTTAGCAGTATTTTACTCGTCAAGTAATACGTTTATGTAGGGAGGCCCATTCCCTCCCAGGTTGATTGTACACAACTGTTTATTGGTTACATAATAAATTGAACAACCAACAACACAAAAAGAGGCCCCCTGACCACACTATATTTGTACAGACTTTGCCTCTCTCTTTTTTTAAGACTTAGTGAAGTAGAATTTAGGCATCAAAATGGCACAGAAAGTAAAATATTTAGCCTTGTCTTGCATATAATACACACCATTATAGACATTACATTTTGTACGTGCAGTGATCACTACTGTCACGTGTGATTTTCACGTAAAATAAACTACTGTCAGAAATGCAATCAAAATGCTTTCTGGCTTCATTTAATAAATACTAATCATAGCATATATCAAAATAACGCAAATCTACCAAATCTAGTTGAATGCTCATATTTCTATAGTCTGTTTCAGACTTCCCTCCAGGGAGAAAGCATATGTTTTATCTTACCTGATGCTACATAGTGCTTTAGCTTCCCTACGTTTTACAAACAGACATTACTGGAACAGAGAGACAGTTAAAACATGCTATAGCCCTTGCCCCGATACCCACCATTTATCCACCTTGGCCTATACTCCCTGATATTCTTCTTTCTTTGCCTACCAACAGATGTGTTATTTGGAACAATATGACTTACATTAATTTGTCATCAGTTTTTTACTTTTTCTGGTGATGTTGCCTCCATAAATTCTTTCCCTGCTTTATATCTCCGCTTATTTGTGGTATATACCTTTATGGTTCTTTCGAATACCCTACCTCTATTACATCATAGCCATAAATTCCTGTTTATGCTGAGAACCACACTACACATTTTTAATAAATTTTTAACAGACGTCCACTTCACTGCCAACATACCTAATAGTTGTGAGGGAAACCCTGTCCCTCCGGAGACATGCCACTGCGCATGCACAAGGTGGGAAACCTAACTTCTTTCCTGTGTGTCCAGATGACAACAAGGAAATGTTTTAGTTTGATACATCTGTACACATATTGCTGTCACACAATACAAGTCACATTAGATCATCACAAGCTTCAACTAGAGACAAACAGTGAGCTGTTCTTCAGCAGAGAACGTTAGTATAAGAGCCGCTGTCCAAGGACAAGTTTGAAAAACTTTCTAACAAAACAGAGCATCCTCATACAGTAGACACTCAAGCAGTCAAGCTGAATCAGCATATTATGAGGACAGTACGAGAGTGAGACATCGAGAGTCTCATAGATACCATCCCTACCACGTTCTGATAAGGAAGATCATGAATCACGGACATAGCAATGCAGTGACCACAGAAATACACAACAGTCTCCATCTGGCCACTTCTATGACAGACAAGTTGACACAAAGTCTTGTGCACATCATGATAGGTCTCCTAAGCCTGCTCCATCACATACCGTTACACAGTCCAGTTATACAGGCAGGGATAGCGAATTGGATATTAAATCACAATCCCGCAGCTATAATACTACACATGCTTCCTGCTCCTCGAGCCACAGATCAGATGACCGGGGTTACCCCTAGCCATATTTCCTCTCCCCAGCACAGCTTGAGCAGGGGTTCTATTGCTTACACGGCTTCTTCATGCAACTGGGACTCTGTGTGGCACATAATTACAAACCAAATAATTATTCTATTAAGAACATCATTGCAGAGCTTTATAATCTGATGTCGGCTTTAAGACCGGTTGATAAAGGTGAACAGTCTACCAAACCCTTGTTAGAGCGTGCTGGGTATGAAGAACCTGTCGGGAAATCTGAAAATTTCATACCCTTCCCTGTTCGTCATTAATGTTGCCATCAAGAAATTCGAAGCAGCCCTGAATGCTTCTTCGGCACATAATATCAGACTCGGTGTGCCCTCCATCAATAAGAATACTTACAAAACACACAATCTTCAAACAGCCTAAGATTGATGACGATTTTTATGAACTTGTTAAAAATCCTAACACCAGGATGCAAGTTGACATAATAAACAAATGCTCAGTATCAGTTCATTCATTAACTGGGTTGCAGCCGGAATTCATCACATTCATTCCTCTGACCTATCAGAGCGGGGGCCTACCCTTAGATACTCCCATAGAGATGACACTACAGTAGGACAGATTTATTCACAGCTTGATGGAGCATGTGCTGAAGATGCAAGAAGATCTTCAATCAGCACAAATTTGGATGTCCGCACAATTCCTGCTAATGCAAAGAAACCTTCTGCTTCAGCCAGTACACTCTATGATCCCGGAGCCTCTAAGAAGATCCATGTTATCACAGCCTATTACAGCTCCACAGATATTCAACAGCAGACTCAAGTCATTGAAAGAAGCTGTAGCATCATCAACCAATCGGAAGTTTCAAGAATCTACCATCTCAATGGTATCAAAGATCCAGAAACAGCCTGCAGGTGTCCAGCATCAACAACAGAATTCTAAATCTTGTCAAGTTGACTTTGGTCGGGATTCTTTTTCGTGCTTCTACATGGAATGACAGATCTTTCTGCCCCAAGAACAAGGCCTCCAAAGATGACCATCCCACTTAACAAAGAGGTAGAGGCAGAGGAGGTTTCCTAGGCGGATGCCACCGGAGGTGACTTAACCAGAATTCTACAGATTACTACAGACCCTGCCCAGATTGCCTGCCCATAGGACAATGATTTAGGATTTCAGATTATCAACGACGGACGTCATATAGCTGGAAAATTGCTGAGTGTGGTGTTAAACAACAAACAAACAAAAGATTATCAAGGCTACACCCACAACGAATGCCTTATGGACATTGATCCAAGAGTGCCAAAGTTCAGTACTACCGCTACTCCAGGACCGATCGGAGGTCATCGTATGCAGAATTCAGACAACTGGGAATTTAAGCCATTCACAGACGACACCTAGCTGCTCAAAGTAGTAAGAAA